CAGGCAGACATCCCTCAAGGGGTCTCGGGCCTGCAGGCCAGGCTGAGGAATCCCCCCACTCTCCCCAGTGCATGAATGTCATGCACCAGGCCTCTAGTCCTATATAATAAAAGGCTAATTTGCAAATTGACTGAACGGCGCTATGATACACACTGACCACCAGGGGGCTGAATGCAGGAGCTTCCCCCTGGTGGTCAGTGCGCTCCCACAGGGGGAGCACCGCTCAGCCAGATGCCCTGAGCTGGGCTCACAGCTGGCGAGAGCAGCAGTGGCGATGGGAGCCTTTCCCGCCTCCACAGCAGCATAAGGATATCCGACTGCCGGCTTAGGCCTGCTCCAGTCAGACATCCCCCGAGGGTTCACAGTCCCGGCTGAGGGACCCTCCACTCCCGAGTGAACGAATTTTGTGCACCGGGCCTCTAGTGAATTTATAAAAGGGAAGTACCTCGTCTCCATAGGTGGGAAGTAGACAATCCCTCTTAGAGTATGTTGGTAGCAACTACTATTTTCTGCAGTCGGGAAGATCCTGAATAGCCCAGCTTCAGAATTGCTGCTGCTTATCACTTGAAAGACCGTTTTAAGAGGTTGCCAGGATTCAGTTCAGCAATCTGTTTCTGAGGACTTACTACCTGCCAGACCCTGTGTTTGTTGCTGGAAATAGAAAGTGAACAAAATTGCATCCCATTCTGCTAAGAGCTCATGGTTTGGCAGGAGAGACAAGTAAGTGAAATGGTTAGTCTTTCCATGTATGTGTGACAATAACAAGAAAAATTTGCATGTGGTGCTTGGACGTTTGATGGCTCTTGGTGTTGGGGCATATGAGAGGGGCCTGGGCAGGCAGATCCCCCTGCCAGTCATTTCTGGCTGTGAGCCGCTTTGTTCTTTACCCAGTGCGCCATACAAATATTACCATGTTCTCTGTGCGCCGTGGTGTGGAAAGGGTTGGCCAGTACTGCTGTAAACTGTTAACGTTGCTGTCTTTTGATTTGAACCCTGAATGATGAGTACATTTTCGAGATCCAGCGGAGAAGAAGGGGAAGAATTAAGGGCATTTCAGGGAAGCATAACCGTCCGGACAGGTGTAACAGAAGTATGGAAGTCTGTGCTTGCTGGGGATGGGGGCACTGGAATTGTTTGGTGTGGGTATTGTAGGGTAGGGTCACTAGGACAGGTAGATCTGATTGAGAAGTGCTGTCCAGGATACGAAGCAATGTCTTGGAAGTGTTTAATAAACCACAGTGTCCACTTAATAAATAAATACCTGGCCCAACCACAAGTCACCCTGTTCTCAGTGGATGGGTCCATCGCAGTCCAGAGTTTTTAGTGACCAACTTTCTGGAGCTAGAAGCAGAGACATAGTAAGCCTTTTTTTCTTTTTCTTATTTCTAAATTTGTATACAAAGGGGTTTTTTTGTTGTTTTATATTTTATTGATTTTTTACAGAGAGGAAGGGAGAGGGGGAGAGAGTTAGAAACATCTATGAGAGAGAAACATCGATCAGCTGCCTCCTGCACATCTCCTACTGGGGATGTGCCCACAACCAAGGTACATGCCCTTGACCGGAATCGAACCTGGGACCTTTCAGTCCGCAGGTTGACGCTCTATCCACTGAGCCAAACTAGCTAGGGCTGTATACAAAGGTTTTAAAAGTGTGTCTCCTTTAGATTTTTTAAAAAATATATTGTATTGATTTTTTTACAGAGAGGAAGGGAGAGGGATAGAGAGTTATAAACATCGATGAGAGAGGAACATCGATCAGCTGCCTCCTACACACCTCCCACTGGGCATGTGCCTGCAACCAAGGTACATGCCCTTGACCGGAATCGAACCTGAGACCCTTCAGTCCACAGGCCGACGCTCTATCCACTGAGCCAAACCTGTTAGGGCTCATTTAGATTTTTGATGAATTGTCTGCATTGGAAAAACATATTTAATTTCGGTCACTTCAGGATTTGTGGTCACTATATCCCTGGAGTGGAAGGTAGTTTGGTGAGTTGGGTGTTGATGATAATAAGGGCTGTTTGAACCCATAAGCCTTAGGTTTAGAGTCAGACAAATCTGGGTTTAAATCCCACTTCTGCCACTTCCTACTTGCATGACCTGGGTAAAGTCACTTACATCTCCACAGTACTCAATGACTAGTACTTTCTTTGCAGGATTGTTAGGAGGGTTAAATAGGATAATCTACATAAACATGCTTAGCCCATGGTAGGTTCTCAATAAGAAATAGCTGTTATTAATTTTCTACCTTCTTTTTTCAGATGCCACAGTAAATCACCATCAGTGTAATCATAATAACCGAACAGATGATTGGTAGTTTACAGTGGCAGCTGCTTCTGTTTCCATGATCTCTTTTGCTATTGAATATGTGAAGTTGTGACAAAACAGAATTGGAAGGAGGAGCATAGTTTTAGAGTTCTCAGCCTTGGAATCCCAGCTTAATAACCAGTATTTCCTGACTGAGTGACCTAGTATAACTTAACCTATCTGAACTTCAGTGTCCCTAGATCAGTGGTTCTCAACCTTCTGGCCCTTTAAATACAGTTCCTCATGTTGTGACCCAACCATAAAATTATTTTCGTTGCTACTTCATAACTGTAATGTTGCTACTGTTATGAATCATAATGTAAATATCTGATATGCAGGATGGTCTTAGGCGACCCCTGTGAAAGGGTCGTTCAACCGCCAAAGGGGTCGAGACCCACAGGTTGAGAACCGCTGCCCTGGAGAGAAAGAGGGTGTGCTATAGGATTGCTATAAGGTTTAAATGAGAATCACCTGTGTAAGCTCCATTACAGAAGGTCCAAAGTGGGGGAATGTTATTCTCTCCTTAACTTTAAAAAAAGCCGATTAATGAATGCAAATTCTTATTGATGATGGCTGGGTTGAGGGTATGGGGTCTGAGGGTAGTGTTTTAGATACCTTTCTTCCCTTTGATTCAGAACAAAGCTTGTAGTGTCTTACGTCCTATGGGATTAATTTTAGAGTGGTTTACGTATAGGATGTTTGGATTTGTATGAGGCCTTGACTGCTGGTTGAGGGCCAGAGTGTTGTTTTATGCTGGACGTTTAGCAGTTATATGCTTCCTTCCTGCAACCTTTGTACCTAAGTGTTACCTCTTAGGTACACTTAGTGTGGTCAAACTTCTCAGGTGCAGGTAAGAAAAAGCTAACCCAAACACTAGCCCAAGGGGAAAAGGGTCTAGGATTGCTATAAAGTTTAAATGAGAATCACTTGTGTAAGTTCCGTTAAGCTTATTGACTCTTTTTTTAAATATATTTTATTGATTTTTTTTTTACAGACAGAAAGGGAGATGGATAGAGAGTTAGAAACATCGATGAGAGAGAAACATCGATCAGCTGCCTCCTGCACACCTCCTACTGGGGATGTGCCCGCAACCAAGGTACATGCCCTTGACCAGAATCAAACCTGGGACCTTTGAGTCCACAGGCCGACGCTCTATCCACTGAGCCAAACT